AAAATCTCGCCCCTAACTTTCTGGATTTCCAAAATTTCCAAAAACTCCCAAATAGTCCGATCTAGTAGACAAGATTTTTCCAAATTATAGAAGCGGACTTTTTGGAAATTTTGGAAATCCGGAAAGTTAAGAACGATTTTTTTTAGAAATTTTGGAAATCCGTAAAATTAGAAACGAGAATATTGAAAATTTTGGAATTGAGTTTGTGAGGATTAATCGCCACCCATTCGGTAACGCACCATACTTATCGACTCAATTGAGAGGGCATGGTCTGTCAACGGGCGGGGAGGCGACCGCATATATATATATATATAAATCAATCTTATTTCGATAATTTTTATATTTATAAATCAAAATCATCTAAGAAATTCATTTTCAGATTATCATAAATTCTAGATCATGAGAATTCTCTGCCTCCCCGAATCCGAGCCTCAATAAAAAGATCAAATAAATTCTCTAGGGATCTTGACAGTAGTATTTTATTCACCGTCATTCGTTTTGATAATTTTATTGCAGGCAAGTTGGTGTTGTGAGCATTTTCGGTAATTGAACATCGAATCCATTCTGGAAAGATGTGGTGCGGCTCATGGCACCTCGAAATTTTCAGCCAGCTATGTACAGTTCTGGTTGTTTCTTATGATAGGCATGAGAAGGGTTTCAAAGGCCTTTCGATCACCTTGGAGCTCCTGCAACAAAGTTGCCTTCTTTGGGAACTCCAAGTTCACATGACGACTGGGGGATGCTCCACCCACTTTCGCAAGCGGCATGCCAACTTCGGGCTTGCGCCGAAACACATCACATGTCCGCCCTCACGGAACCACCACACATCACACTTCCGGAGGCCTGAAGAAATTCAAGCAGTAAATTTGCCGCGCATGCTTCGAGGTGTTTGCGAGGGCTTCAAACATCCAAAATCCAAGATATGTCCACCATAGCCTCGACTTAGAGAGAGAATCGAAAGCTAGGTCTGCAGCAATTGGGATCCAAGGTGGATCGATCCACGACAGGATCCTGGCAGCTTCGAAACTGAAGCTTAACTATCCAAGCCACCATACTCTTAAGGTGGCCTCGCGTCCTTTCCTAACAAGGCTGACAAGCTACGACTGGATCACGAGATGCCCTCTGCAAGGCAAGTGAGTTTGCACTTCGTTCCTGATCGTACATAGTACTAGGCTCTCCTGCGAGCAACTCCCATGCGGCGAGGGATGCCACCGTTGATCTACAAGCTGCTGCTGTCGGCGATGTCCCGCAAGCCCTACAACATGAAGTATCTGCAAAGTCCTCGGGGTTCTGAATTCGCAGAACTTCCCCGGCGGGAAGAGTGGCACGGAGTTGAAGTGAAAAGTCTCCCTCGAAATGCTCCTCGGCTGATGACGGCAGGAAGCACTTCCCTCGTTAACACCTTGGGTAACCTTGAACTTTGAACCCCTAGACCCTAAAGGCCCAAAATCAAAAATCAGCTAGGATGGCTCCATGGTACCTAGGGAGTCTCAAGAGGCGATGTTTCACACACAGCCGTTTCTGAACAAGTCGTAGGGTTTAGGCTTCAGGGGTTTAGGTTTCGGGGTTTAGTAATACAAAAGTTATAATGCACGTCAGGGATTCTGAATACAATCATGCTGCAACATGCCACCAAAACCGTTTCCAAGGAATTAAGCTCACTTTTTTGCTCTTGTGTGTCGCGATTCAGGCTTGACTCAACCGAGTTGCGAATGGCATTTGCAACTGCCCTTGACAAGCAGATGCCCCAGTCGCCTGCTTCTTGAGAACCTGCCAAGATCCCGAAAGTCTTGACCCATACATGACCCGTAAAAGCCGTAAGCCCACAAGCTACATGGCTACATGTCACGGTGGTTCAGGTCTCTGCCAAGGGCGTCAAAAGTGTCCCAGTCGACATCTAAGTAGGTACTCCCAACCGTCTCAACCTGGAGTTCCAATGTCTGACGTGAAAGACGGCCCTTGTGCAGAGTGTTTGTAAGATTGCTCATGGTACGACGAACACTATTGGTAATCAGCATGCCATGGAGGTGACTACTTCTTCTAGTGAAACTTGCGCTTCCACCACACTTCTACTTGTGCGATGGCATCGCCTTGTTTCTGCTTGTACTTGTACGACTGTTGCAGTACTCTTTCGTACTTCTACTAACTCTTTCACCTTCTACTTCCACAAAAATTTATCTGCTCCCACTCTCATTTCCTTTGTCACCCTTCCGTGAGCCATTGGCTTCTGCGGTTGCAGCTCTTGCGCATGATGTGTAGTTAAGGACTTGGGCCTTGGCTACGACGAGCTGTATGCGTCGCAGGCTTCCGCACTTGCACCAGTGCGACCGAGCGCCCGCTGTGACACCAGTTCTCCTAAGAACTGCAAACAATACAAGAGTAACCTAACCCCAAACTCTTAAACCCTGAACTCTACAATGCTATTACCACAACGTCGCTATCACCAAGCAGAATAGCTTCGGGGCTTGCCGCACCGAAAGCACCGGCCAAAAGGTGCCTGGTTCTGTGCCCAGGCGACTTCCGTGATGTGCCGGATGTAAGACCAAGTGGGCGGCCAGGGAAGTAGCCGGCCTCTCCGCGTTTTCATTCAGAGGCATGTGTATGGTCTGGATCAGTCTGGTCCGGTATCGTATGGCAGGGCGTGACATGGTATGGAAACGCATGGTACGGTATGGCTGCATGGACATATGTGGCTGTCTGTATGTATGCATGCATGTATGAGGTCGGTGCAACAGCTTCTATACGTGCGCACATAACATAGTTGTATGCACACACATATATACTATACATACATAGGTACAGGAGCACACGCACACACAACACCACACAGGGTTTACAGCATCTGATATGAAGGACATGCTGCATAAGTGTTTGGTGATGCTTGATGGCGAATGTTAGGTGGTTGTGCAGCCTTCATGGCACAGAAACCTTCTGAAGCTGGGTCAACACATCATACACACCAAGCTGGATTTGAACAAGTGTCGACTAGCTGCGACAGCTCAGGGCGGGGAGCGTGCATGAGCCTGCAATGGCGGTACATGTCGCAACTCCATCCAAACCCATAGGGGTAGTTGTCAAAATTATGGTCTCTTTTGGGGTACCCTAAATAATAGGTGCCGTATTATAATAAGGACCCAAAAAAGGACCATAATTTTGACAACCACCCATAGAGATGGTGCCTTCAGGACACTTGAAGATCAAGCGATTTCGCAAATTGACTGCCTCGGTGATGCACTGAATTCTGAAAGGCCGTGGTGTTGTAGAGGGACAGATTACGAGGGTTCCTGGCGCAAGAATCCGCAAGGCATGCCGCAACCAAGACCTTCAAACCGGCCACCCCAAATCCAACACCTCAATCTGTCCTTAAACCCCGCAGCTCAAGACTCGGATGCGTGCGAAACGGTCATGAACCTCCGCAGCAGGCCGAGGCTGTCACCCAGAAATGGAGCGCCAGGGGAATATCCAAGCCTGAACGACTGACTTGCTGCGCAGAGAACCCTGAGCATGATCTTTGTCAAAGTGGTGCGTAGGCTGTACAGCCTGAATCCCTTCAGAACCTACAGTACTTCTTCTTTGGGAAGTTAATGGCTTCACAGCGTCGAGTCCAGGGCTCCTGCTTGTAGAGGGTGCTGACATCGTTCAAAGCCGGTACCCTAATCACCGACCGGGCAACAGTCCTTCGGCCTTTACATTGCGGCTGAGGATCTCGGCTAATGATGAGAACTGATCTTCAAACTGATTGCTTGGCCGCTTCTCTCACTCAAAAGCCCAAAACCAGGGCTCTTACCAGTTCGTACGAAGCGGATCAGGTTTCCAAGAAGTAGCCCGTGATGGTTTTCCTAGCTAAAGCACCAGCAATCCGTCGACTGCCATGGCAGCCCGAGCATAACGCCGGAGCGACCGGCTGCCACAGGCACGGTTGAGTTGTAGTTTGGTAATATTTTTGTATATAACCCATTTGATAATGATAATATTGGCAAGTTATATAATTCATTTACTGGACTATCATTACTTGGTATATCTTCAAAACATAATTCTATCTAGTCGCACTTTTGAAACCAGGGGCTGTGGCATGCCTGCTGCAGTCCACTACGCTGCGAAGACACTACACCAGAAGCTCTGCTTCACACTGCTTGACGAGTCCCTGCCTGTGCTTGCAGATGTCAACTGAGCACACACTGGCAGGTTGCCAGTTTTCTGGTGTGAGGTTGCAGCTGATGGGGGAGCAAATTGCATACGAAGGGTCTGAACCCAACTCAGTTTGCGACTGCACCCACTGCACAGTTTGGATGTGCTGCTCCCTCCACGACGCAATACGCTTGAGAGCCTGCACATACTCTGCGGACTGCTCATCCACAGGCTGATTCTCGCCCGGATCTGCAACGAGGTCGAAAAGAAGGGGCTGTTCTTGCAAGCCGGCTGGCCGTCCCGCCGGAGGTGCAACTCCGTTTGTAAACCAGTAGGCCTTGTAGTTTCCGCATCTCACTGCACTGAGCGCAAACGGGCTGGAAGCATTATGCGAGTCCGGCTCATTGTAAAAGGGGTAACACTCGTGGGCTTGCTCAGAACGGCCTGCCAGGACGTCTGTAAGGTCAATGCCATCGATTATTCGATCCTGTGGAAGCTTCACACCGGCCTGGCTCAAAAGGGTTGTGTGCACGTCCAGAGTGGATGCAATGGCTTGGGTCAGGCCTGTGCGAACACCCCGTCCCCAAGCGATGGCAGGCTCTCGGAAGCCGCCTTCCCATAGCTGTGCTTTGGCACCTCTTAAAGGAAGATTGCCTCGATCGTCATTGCCCCACCTGCTGCCCGTGGGTGCGCCGTTGTCGCTGGTAAAGAGCACCAGCGTATTGTCGCCCTCCTCGGCAACTCGCCTTCGCACGGCGTCCATGATCTGCCCGATGGCCCAATCGACCTCTTCAACAGCATCGCCGACTGCACCTTGCGGGGACTTTCCGCAGAAGGCCGGCCCGGCAGTGTTGGGCGCGTGGATGTGATTGAAGGCTACATACAAGTAGAAAGGGCCTGGGGCGTTCGAAACGAAGTCCACGGCGGCCTTAGCATACTTCTGGGTAAGGCTTCCAAGGTCAACGGGCTGCTCGATCACGGCGGTGCCGTTGAGTAGCGGCAGCGGAACAGGCTTGAAAGGCTCGGTTGGTGTAGGGAGCCAGGCAGACGTGCCCATGTCCTGGCTGAAGGGAATGCCCAAGTAGTGACCGAACCCACGGTTTGTCGGCAGAAATTGTTTTCGCTGGCCCACGTGCCACTTGCCAATGGCCATGCTCACGTAACCTACCTCGGAAAGCGCTTCGGCCGTGGTGGTCTCGTTCAATGGCAAGCCTCCGATGGCTTCTGCGGTGAAGACCTGATTTCCGCCTGAGCCACGACAAACCTCCGCCGCACCGCAGGGCACGCCAACACCACTTCGGATGCTGTGCCGCCCTGTCAGCATTGAGGCACGACTGGGGGAGCACAAATGGAAGGAGCTATACCAGGTTTGAAACAATAGACCTTCTTTGGCAAGCCGTGCCACATTCGGAGTGGCAATGGTGCCGTTGTCACCTGTATATCCATAAACCTGGTTTGCATAGATAGACTTGTCCACTGCTACTTGGTTGATGCCCATGTCGTCCACGAAGAGGACTACAAAGTTCGGCTTGGCTGCCAAACCAGCAACGGATGCAAAGGCTAGTAAGCTTTTCATGACCATTCTTGCGACGGCAGATGCAGAGGCTATGGCGGCTATGGCTCGAGCCTGAGCCGCTGCGTTCAAATCCTGTTCATCGTGGCTTTCCGCAGGTACAGGTAAAGTCTACATCCGAAAGACGATGTCCGCTTCAGTGCCTGATTTCCAGTGGATGACGACCATCGTGTCAACTCATGTCGGCTCTGCCAGCACCACTCCAAGAACTGAGACTCATCCCGATTCTTCTTCTGTCAGATCGTCTTCAGTTGCTGCCTTGCTACCTGGGACTGCGGCCTTTCTTCCAGCTGACAGACAACATAGTCCCTAACGAGAGTTCTGTTCGTCGAGAGCAACAGGCAATTTCGTAGTTGCCCCTCTTGGGGTGAAAGATAGCCCCTGCATCCTGGAAAACCTTGGGCCGCCTGCTTACCTTGCAACGCCGAGCAGCGAGCGAACCAAGACCACTTTGTCATAGCTTCGAAGGTGTTTCGCAAGTGGTCGGGGCTGTGCACGGAAACGAATCCTTGGTCTGAAGACAAGGCCCAACAGGAGGAACAGCAAGGACCCCTCTCCTGAAGGCCGGCATACTGCACGTGTGCTGCCATCTAAACGAACCATTAGCAGGCATCTACCCAAAGCTTCGCGTCTGTGGCGGAGGGACTGATCTGACGTTTGCCCTGTTGACTGGCTTTCGGCCTTCCGCTTAAGCTCCTGTCTTTCAGTGGTATGAGTAAAGTGCTGCCCATGACCAGCACACATACCGGCATAGCCAGTGCATGTCAGGCATTCTCTCAGCACACCCAGCAGAGAAAATGGATACAGTAGATACTGGTATATCGTCTCTCTGTAGCAGTCTCGCGGGTGATAAGTGATGCTAAGGCAAGCCTTGATGCCAGGTCTCTGAGGCGACAAGCATGTCCTTCCTTTGTGCAGCGTCTTGAAACCCGCTCGCCACTACTCCGCTGCGGTCCGTCTTTGACGGAGCAGTGCACGTCCTCGTGGAAGGATTAGGTTGAAACAATATGTTCGAGCTCCACCTGATTGAGTTTGGCAGGACGTAACGCAAGCCTGTCACTTTCCTTTCTAGCATTGCCCTTTGGGAATTTCTTCTTCCGGGGAACTGAACTCGAACCCGAACGATAACTGTGGCATACACCTCCTCAATAGCCAGCAACACACCGTCTTCAATTCCTTAGTCTTGATTCGCTTCTGCCGATCGACGGCGGAACTGATCAATGCATTGAGTGCACCGTCCGTTCTCTTGGATCTCCCAAAAGTCAGAAGACTAGCACAGGACATGAGCCCTTCTCTTAATTAACTAAACCAGCACTGTTGTGGTGTTGTCGAGTCAACGGTTCTGAGGGTCCTGACACACAGATCTAGGAGCTGCAGATCAAGAAGCTGCATACTAATAATCCTCATTCGCTTGCAGACTGCTTGTAGTTCCCTGAAACCAGAGCCCTATGTGCCTGTAGGATTGTCACATGACTTTATCAACCCGCCCCCGCCCCTCTCCTTGGACAAACTTGCTGATTGCGCTCGTCCCGCGAGAAGAGTCGGCTTCTGAAGCGCTTCCTCCACGAAACCAATGCAGGAACTTGTGACGCTCTCTTGGTTTGCTTCTAAGGCTACGGGGCTAGATGACTCAAAGAAGTCTACACCGGAAGTGTCTGAACGTATTGTCGATGCTCCGATAGGCAGCTGCGAAGAATATGAGAGCCGAAGCTTTTCCAAAAGACGCGGAACTCTCGAAACCTCCTTGACTCCTGCAGCTTTTGCTGCACTCTCACAAAGAGTCTCCTCGTCATGACTACAATCCTACATCCGCTGCTCTTCTGAAGATACAACCTGCCACAAACATACAGACAAGCATTGACTACCTTGAAATCCTGCGGAGCCTCTGGTTTTGCATGGTAGACTTTTGCATTGAAGATCTTGTCTGCCGTGGCTAAGGTCAGCATGCCACCGACGGAGAAGCCCAGAATGACAATCTCTCCTAGGCTGATGCAGTCCAGTATATGGGGGTTTCCGAAAATAGCGGACCCTAATATAGTACCCTAAGTAGTAGGATCCTTATTATAAGGACCCCAAAATAAGGTACCCCTAATTTTCGGAAACTCCCATATGAGCTCGGATGCTGCATGCCGGCCAACCCACAAATAGTGGACAATACCGAGCAGCTGTAAGGGCACTCGTGCTTGGTATCCTCATCGCTGTACGCTCCGAGGCGCTTGAGGTAGTCTAAAAGGAATGCCCTGAGTGGGGCACAGAGACAGCTTGGAGCAAAGTCGCTGTCATTGGCTAGAATTTCAGGATGGGTCGCGGATCAGACAGGCCCGCGTAGGTTTGCTTTCGCCATTCGGCTCCACCTGCACAGGAAGCGTTATCTTCACTGCCTGCTTCATGAGGTGAACATTACTAATCCTGGAGGCGCTTCTGTAACATACAAATGAAAGGTATATAGGCTGCTTCGAGCAACAGCAACAGGCAGCCGGGACGGTAGCGACAACGACAACAAGCATCACGACGGCGATTGGCGGCGATATCACGATAGTAGTACTCAGGATCACCGGCTTGCGAAGGTAGGAGCATCACTGACGGCAGCGGTGCTGCAAGGCTTGCGAACTTTCGCGGCCAGTCTAAACATGGATATCCAGCCTGTGCCAGCATTGTGAAACAGGCACCAGTCTTCGTTGGCTTTGTCGATGACACCGCCTCGAAAAGACTGCAGGTCCTATGAACAGCGGTGGGTTTTAAGTCAACAGTTTCGAGATGAGGCCATAGCACGTGGTGGTGCTGTTCTGGGAAAAGCTCGCCGGCTTGCGCAGCATGGGTAGCTGTGGACGTCTTTGGGTTCGCGGGGTACGTGAAGATTTTATAGGAAGGCGCCCGACGACAGATCGAGAATGTCGGGTTCTCAGCACCTGATTGGCCTTTACGGAAAACGGAGAAGCTGACCCTCAAATGCCAAGATGCTTTGAAGAAGCTCATCAAAGTATCCTGCAACGGAGTCCCCATCGCTCATTCCACCTGTGGTGCGCGGCTTTGCAGTCGTTTTGTGGAAGTGTCGAAGCTGGAGTCGCGCGACACGGGGGCAGCCAAACTCAAAAAGGGTGTGCTCTCTGATCCCTCGTGCTCGAAACCCGGAGCCAAGGATGTGTACGTCCCACAGCGGCGGCCTGGAACCAAGATCCAAAGCCTCCGAGGAGACACTGGCTCTGAAGCTCTCTCTGGCCACCACACTGCATACTCCTCCAAGTTTCTCGGCTGAGCTCGGCGAAGCAATTATGCAACGGGGAAGTCAGGATTCAGGATCAATCTTTCAGAGGCTAGGTATGGCAGTGCAAAGAACAACACATTTGGCAGGAAGATCCCGGTCCTCTTCAAGCTCTTCGTGGTCGTACAACAGGACGTGGTATCTCTGGCGATTGCCCCACATGCGGCGAAGGTTTACCTTTCAAGCATCGTCGTCAAACTCTGTAATTAAATTAAGCTCCGGTATCGGCATGGACGGCTTCAGGGCACAAACGTCGTTCAGTGATTCAGTTGCACACTTTCGGTGCTGCTCCGGCCATATTTGAAATAACTGCTGGACCATCCGCCGGGAAAAACTTTGGCCAAGTGATGTTTACAGTTCAAGCAATTGCTTGCTCACATGGAAAACTGAAGGCCTGAACAATGGACCAGCTGGGCCGATTGATGCAGACTGACTGTAGGCGGTGCTTCTGAAGATGGTTTAGCAAGTAACACAAGGCGTCTTCCGCTTTTTTAGGCGGACATGCGGCGACGATGCATCGGGCTTGCAAGTATCTGACGATGAGCCGGCAAGTGAACAGACCCTCCGAAGAGGATCGCATGCTGGGGCGGAAGACATGACAGACCTAATGTGCAAATGCATACAGGTGTCCGTAAGCGTATTCACCCGGAAAGCTTTCAACCCAATGCTTGATTCTTGTTCCATCGCAAAACGCAGGCTAACCATGTCAGCTGACCAAAGTGGATGCTCGCAGCATCACAAACATACCACGATGCCACCAGAAATGGCGCCTTGGAAGCTGTAGCTCGTGCTTGCTTTCCATGCAGTTTTGTGACGTGACCAGCCGAAGAGTATTCAACTCTTCTAGACCTATGCTGCCGGGTAAGCCGGACGAATCTGGTCGGGATGGACTGTACAACTGTACGATTGTACGCGTATATGGACTGCAGCAGCGATGTGAAGAACCGATGTCTTTTGCTTCAAAGTCCCAAGTGCCGTCATTCCCATGGGCAACGATCCCTCGCTGCCCTGACCAGCCTAATTTGTCCCGAGGCCGAGACAGCAATGAGCGCAGCCATTTCGACAGGCCTAACTTCTATTGTTGGAGAACGGGAGCTTCGTCGGGGTCAGTATAGATGGCTTCCCCCACAAGCCGGATAGAGGGCACCGACACAAGAGGCTTGTGGTCCAAGGCCTCGTATAAATCGTGTACAACAACTGCACTAGTCACTAGTAGATTTATGCAGACGACAGCGAAATTGAATTTCCGGTGTGGGCTCAGCAGAATACGTTTCAGGGAGCTAGCAGGACGATGAGTTGCATGGGCTGTTCCAACAACTCTCGCCTAATTGCTGCTTTAGACAGAAGATCGCCAAGAAGGACAGGCTTCCGGGTAAGGCATCAAGACTGTCTATCCTGGAAAACTTGTGCGATGCAGGCTCCAAACCCGGACAAGCCTTTGCAAGTCAATCAACGCCAGACCCCTAAAAGTCCCAATCTCACCCTCCAAACATTAACTTCATCCTGAGCTCCCAAACTTTCTTTTCTTTTTTCTGGGAACTGCAAGCCTGCACGCCCCTCTCCGCCGTCCCAGGGCCCAGGGCAAGGTCTCATTGAATCCTTCCCGAGCCTCTCTCTTTTTTTCTTTCTTTCATTGGGCGTAGGGGGCGTCTTAAACCCCCTGGCCTTGTGGCCCCCATGTGTTACGGGGTGGCAGGGGTGCAGGTAGTTGTGGGTATGATGTCTACGTGAGCGGCATCGGGGAAGATCAAGTACGATTGGCTACGAAGGTTGACTATGATATCTAGACCATATGGGTTCCCCGATTTTTGTGCTCGTAGACATTTCCCCCGTTCGACTTTGGGACACCTAGGTGAAAAACAGCAGTGTGCTCAGAGAGGGGTTTTGCGGTAGGATAAGACATAGGAAAAGGTCGCGGTCCCCCCTCTGCGAGCTTGTGTTTCTTGTCGTACATTTTGGTCCCCCCGCGGTACGGTGGACTCGTCTCTCTCTCTCTCTCTCCGTATATACACATATACATGCATATGTATATATATATATATATAACTGTACAAGCCTAGGCGCCTAAAGCAAGGACCACCTTGGCGATCCCGCTCCAGAATCGCGCTGTTCTGAGAAGAGAGTTTGCGGCCTAGGCTGCATCTTTACAGCTGGCCCAACAGTGGAAACCCTGATGCTGATTTGGTGTCATGGTCAGTACCGTCATTGTGTCACCAATCATGAACTGCCCTTGTGAAAAGAATTGCCAACATGATGATCATCACATCATTTTTTGACGATGGGGAGGATGTTTACTATGCTTGAAACTCGTGTGTGGGTCATTTTGACGCCAGAGGGTTGTTGTTAAGGTGAAATTTCCAGAACTGGCTTCAATTCCAAGCAAACTTTGGGCTGCTGCAGTCATACCCAGAGACTCCAATATCCCTTAATTAAGGAATATACCTTAAATCATAATATGGATCCTACTATAAAATTTAAGGTATATATTCCTTAATTACGGGATATTGGAGTCTCTGGGTAACTACGATTGTGGTCGGGAGCAGCAGCCACAGCAGCAGTAGAACGAGGCGTTATCTTTAGTGTCGTTGTGCTGAGAGCAACAGGTGCAGTCGGCGCGGCGGAAGGAGGTTCAGTAGTGGCAAAGGCTCGAAGCTCACCTCTTGAAGGCTTATCACAGATAGGTGCTTCTTGCACTTTTGGACTAGTTGAGGCGAAATGATGTCGGGATGCGATTGATAACATGTCTCGCTCAAGCTGCTCTCGGATGGGAGCAGAGACCCGCAAACGACTCCCAAAAGACGGAAACCCACACCGCATCGGCAAGGTGGCCGTGAACTCACGGCGCAAATGGCCCGTGAGCGAAAGTAGATGTTTCGTGGCCATGGCTCTTGGGCCATGTAGCTGGCACTTCACCACCTGCCAGCGCCCCTAGGGGCTTGAGCACGGCGTTGCAGCATACATGGATGTGCCACAGAGTTTGTAACGGTGCATGCTGGGCACAAATCCGAAGTAATCCAGATTCTAATTGTCCATCCCAGTGTGCTTGGAGGACTTGCCAACGACATTCTTCATCGTTCTTTCTGAAGCCGTCTTCTGCCTCATACCTGCGCCATGCGCTCCCTGATTTCATTGTGGTGCAGCCTATGGACACCCGTCGACCCCAAACATCGCCACAGTCTAGCAAGCACGCACTTTTCAGCGCCAGGAGCTTGCAGCCCAATGCAACGTCAGTTGCTTCAGGCAGTTCTGCAGGTCTGGCGGCAACGGGGCCTCGCGGAAAATTGTAACACAAGCGGGAAAGCTTCTGGTGCTCAACCGAATGACAAGTGGTGCTTAAGTTGCTGAGGCTTCTACGTTTTCTTTTGGGTTTTAGGGTTCGGCCTCCACTTTTGTTTTTGGTGTTTCTGTTTTTTGGGGTGGGAAACGTCGTAGCATCATGACGGCACTGTTTAGGCTCTCAAGCAGCCTCCAAACGGAGTATGTGCGATTGGCTCGGATGCGGTGCTTGGAAACGCCACGCATGGAGCGCCTCGCAGCATTCGAAGGCTGTGGGCTTTGGGGTTGAAGGCTTCGGGGGTTTGGGTCCAGGTCGCACGTGGGTGCAGACACTTCCGAAGGGAATTCGTATGTACATACATGAAGCAGACGTTGGGGAACGAAAGATCGTGGTGGGTCTCACAGGCCATATCGAGCTGTTCATATCGGGAGCTCAGGCTAGTTACGCTTTTTGGGGGATGCTCCTTGGCCCTCAGGAAACAGAACTATGGCAAGTATCTGCAGGGTTCAATGTCGCACGTGGTCAGAACGAAGGTTTCCAAAGGAAGTCCACGGCTCAGCCGGGTCGTCGCAAGGCAGCCCGGGAGTGGCTTCCGCACTGCTATCGCGACTCGTATCAACGCAGCATCCTCCCCAGAGACTCCAATACCCCTTGATTAAGGAATATACCTTAAATTATAGTAGGATGCCTAATACGACCCAAGGTATACCCCTCAATTACGGGGTATAGGAGCCTCTGGGTCCGGAGCCGTGAAACATGTGCCGCCTTCTCAGCCTGGTCCTAGTCGTCTCAGAGCCCTTGAAGATCAGCTAGTAAGCCCCGGGAATCAACATTCTCGGGATCTGGCGACGCGCTTCGGTGCCTCGTCCAACAGAGCCAGGCTTCAGATCCAAGCTCACGATTTCAGGTCTGAGGTTTCTGGGTTCGAGGATTCAGGCTTTCAGGAAGGGAAGAAGGGGTTGGAGTGGATGGCTCTGGCTGGGTCGTGATTGCCTTCAGGATTTGGGCTATTTGGTTTGACATTTGTGTAGTTGTCCGTCACAAACTGCAGTTACTGCAAGCGCTAGTGCCTGTACCACAGCTTGCAGTGGTGGTGCTGGTGACGGTGATGGTGGTAGCAGCAGCAGCAGCAGCAGCAGCAGCAGCAGCTGCAGACGCTCTTGATCGTCTTGTTGCAATTATGAGTATAAACGGGCTTATTACTCTTAGCGAGAAGGATTCTTTGTGCTTTCCTGCTTCGCATCACGCCCCGGCTCTCTCTCTTTGGACACCCCGTCCCCAACTCAGCTGGCGACGGCGGGGTGCGCTGTCACCCGGCTGCCTCCGTACCTTCCGCACCAAAGAATCAGAACAGGAGGATGAATGTTGGGGATGTTTAGCTTCATGGCTCTGCACTTGATTCGGGGATTTGAAGGTCCAGGAAGTAGATGTCCACATTCCCCTGCCAGTACTGATTCACCGACTTTTAACTTTAACCCTGCAGTCGAAGCACAAGTCCTGAAAAACTCTAAGCCCAAGCTGGTGGTCGCATTTCATCACCCAGCAGCGGCGCGCCGATGTGTTGTGAATGAACACGAATCTGCAGGAGTGATTGTCTTCGGACTTTCGAGTCTAGGGTGTCCACGGATCTGGGGATGTTTGCGTTTTGTCGACACCATGCCCGACCGACTGCCAGCAATTACCACAGAGCTGGCGGCACTCAACGCATCTGCACAACACACAGTACGACTGCATCCTAACCTTCTGCAGCACCTCAGCCCAGTAAAGGGGAAGAGTGCCGGACTCAACTTGCGAAGGTAGAGTACAAGCATAGCTTGTTCAAGCAGTGTTGGAGCAGGAACAACATAGACCTGGCACCATTTGCCTGGGCACCTTCTCGCATGAACCAAGGCGAAACCAGTCGCACGCCGAACCCGACTACCTCTTGGCACACTGGGCCATGATGCGGCTTCATGATTTCAAGGTGCTGCGCAGCGGGCAGCATTTTTCGCGGTGGGCTTGAAAATATACACGCCATGCGGAAATAGAGCATGCCTCTGGCATGCTGTCTTTTGCCCCTGACTCAGCAAACAGCAAAGCTCATGCTGATTCTGAGTTGGCCGCGACAATGCTTGGAGCAGCTTGCTTCCAAGTGCTATCCGCTTCGTAGTCATAGTAGTTGCACGGCACTCGTCGCTTCAGAAGCAGCAAAGGGCATCGGAGAATCATGTCGAACATGGATGTGCTACTGCTGTTGCAGTGGGCTTTTTCCCTCCGGGATCAGCCAGTGCACGTCTGATAATCTTACGCGTGGACCGTCAACTCCACGTTGCGACTCAAGTTATCCGCACAGAGGCGACTACGCTTCGAGCGTCATTGGCCCCGTATGAGAATGGTACACAAACATTCGCTTGTGTTCAACGTTGCAAAACTTGAAAATCCTGGCAACATTTTCCGCGAGCTAATTCCCGCTGTCGCACCACAGAACCCACGGCTTTCAGTCACAAACTCGGAAAGTAAAGCTCCTGCGCAGTAGACGCCAAAAGAAGCAAAACACTCCCAACCCTGGAAGCCTAGATCGTGTAGGGGTCTTTAGTCTTAGAGTACAGTAGGGTTTGGGGCTCCTTCCTAGTATATGTATTTTTTTGTCTTCTGTATTTATTAGCCCCTGAAGTCTAGAAACGAAAGGACCCAACCGGAGCACTCCAGAGCCCCTCAGCCTGAAGCCACAAGCCCGAAGCTCTGAAACCTAAACTTGGCCCCGACAAGAACCGTAAAGCCTTAAAACCCCCTGTCTCAATCCACCTTAAAGCCCAGAAGCCCGCTGGTTTAGTCTTCGGATTTACGTCCGACCCTGAAGCCAGTAGTCACTGTGATGCGAGTCAGCTCAATGGCATTTGGAACTTCTGGCCCTCAGCAAATCAGCAGCAGGCCCTCGGCTGTTCGTCGGTGCGGCTGACGGCCCCCGTTCTCTCACAGATCGTTTGGGGAGCCGACGGCAAAGTCGGGGTCTGGGGGTACTTGAACTTGTCGGTTTCAGAGGGCAACGACTCTTGGACTGAAGACTGTGGGATCAAGGAAGGACTTGGGGCTTTAAATAGTTTCCCGCGAATGGCGTGGACGACCAGTTCCGGGCTTCTTGCAGGCTACTTGAACATGGGTTCTGAAAATCAGGGGGTTCTTTTCAGTCACAGGCATCGCACATGACGGACCGGGGCTATAACTTTCAAGTCATGGTGCAACTGAGGTGCGAAGCTTCCTCAGATTTGGCGCCATCGGTGATGTCTGCGGCGAGATAAGAACAGAATTCGGGTCGGTCTGAACACATTCTTGCGGGCTTCTTGGGTCGACGACTCGACAACCTTGAGGCAACCCGGATCCAGATTTCCGTGTAGACTCCTATGAAGCACTAGTGAACACTACTAGTAACGCTGTGTAGTCTCTGCACGTCGGCTTAAAGGTTAAAGACTGAGGAGTTTCTTGGCGAGTCTTTGTCACAACGACGTCAAGGATTTCTGTTGGCTGTGCCAGCTTCAGAGACACAAGACCCTGCTTGGTGAAGGCTGCACGTTGTCACATACGTCCAAACAAGAGATCGGTCTCAAGCATAGTGCTGGCTATGCTGCACCACGTACTAGAATACAGAGTGCTGTGGACATCATCTTTCAGCACCATGCCTTGCGTATGCAACATGCCGATGCGAAATCACGGTATACCATGTCGGGCTGCCATGTGACCGATACAAAAATGAAAGCAAAGATCTTAAGGCTCGAGGCCACCGATACCGCGAGTAGTAGCCGCATAGATGACGCGCCTCCCTGAGCCCAACCCTCCAACATCTCCAAGCTTCCTGGTGATGACAAAGTTACATAATAGAACCTTACTCCAAAAAGCAGTATAGTACACTGCAGTACAGGATTATAGAGAATAAAAGAGACTGAGGTTCCAAAAGCTGAGACTATGAAACTCCTCGACCGTGGCAGGCCGTGATCGCGACTTGGGATCCAAAAGTTGGCAGGCTCTCAGTCGCTTTGCCGAAGGAAGAGAGACGTCACCCGGAATGGGAAACTCAAGGACAAAGATGTATAAACTCATGAGGATGGCTACTTCGGGGTTTTCAAGGGCGAGGTGAGACGGAACCGTGCGCCTATGAATCTCTATGAGCCCTGCAGCCATAAGAGCCTTCGGCCACCTGAAAGGCCGTGTGCTCCTGCGCTTCTCAGGCTTTGGGGCTCGTGACTCCAAGCAAAGCATCCTCAAGGGCTCCTTGAGGTTTTCTGGGCGCTTCGGGACATCGGAAGTAGAAAGCCAACTCTGCTGTTCGCAGCATCACGGACGAGTGTTGTGGATTTGCCAAGATTGCGCTTCAATGCACTGTCCCCCCTGATATGCTGGGTGGAACAGACGGCCAGATTCGAAAACATTTACTTTGCATGCAATGAAATTCATACTATATGTCACTAGTCAAAGATGCCGCCTGTCCCTTTGGAAAGGCTCCGAAAGACGCTTCCTGAATCCACAGAGTGCCACAGAGCCTGCAAGAACTAAGCACTCATGAGCAGAGTGTCTGATGCTTTTTAAACCGGGGGCGAAACCGGACGATCCTGGTCAAGTGCCATAACACCGTCATTCAAAGGTCATCGTGCAGTGCATAATTTCCAACCAGGTCTCCCAAATGGAACGGCAAAGCAATCAATTCAAACAGCTACGAGCAGGTCTTCTGGCCCAGTCTACTTCCGAGGTTGCTGCGAGTGAGCTCCCGGTGTTGTACCAGGTTAAGACCTCGCCCGCGTTAAAGTTGCTCGTTTAGCAGCACCAATGCAGGCATCGGCCCAAGTAGAGATGGAGAGCTTCCAGCCAAGTCTTGGAATCCACGGCATCTGGTGGAGCACCTGGCATTGCACCGCTTTTGGGAGCACGGCTCGTGTGTCCGAGCGTGTCTAAGCAGAACCTTCAACTCTGGACCCTGAGGTGAACAAAAACACACCGGATCAGGTGAACAAAAACACACTCGAGGCTGACAATGCCACCTTGCAAAGCTCAAAAAGTTCCTCCCTCTTTCGAGTGACGCATTCGGCTTCGCCGCCATGATCGCTGAAGCAGGATGGCGGCAGGCTCCTTCGAACTGAGAAGGGTAGAAGGCCCAGTTCTTTCGAGGAGACCCGGGAACCTGAAAACATCTGAAACGGAGGTCTCGAGATCTTAAACCTCGCACTTCTGGTCCGCAGTCCTGCCATTTTCGCAGGACTGGCATGAAGTTCGAAGCCTGAGGTAACGGAGACTGGGACGATTGTGCTACTGACGAGGTGCTTCCACCGCTGTTCAACTTTGCAATTCGGGTTGTCCGTATTGATTCCCCCAAATTCGTGGGTACACCCGACAACCCCTCGCCTGGCTCTTGGGCATCTGAGTTGTCACTTCCCGAAACTCTTGGAAAAATGATATTTGCCCAACATCTGAGCCGAGGGGCCGCTTTCTCCATCAAGTGGCTGCGCTCATGGACTTCCACTGCCTCCATGTAGACGCTTAAGGGCAGCGTGCTTGGATCTGCGGCATCCAGGATCGAGTGGGAGTGTAGCTCCTTCACCAGAGGCATGACCTGTTGTGCCAGGCGGAGTCCCAGAAGCTCGCTGCCTTTTGTAGACACATGGAGCTCATCTCGCCAAAGGCCATGGCCTTAGCTTTCTTGAGCCCTCTCTGAACGTGACGCAACTTCATTCCTGTAGCTTGAGTTTATGAGTTCCTTGAGTTCGAAGGAAACATTCTGTCAAGGCAAGACAGCTCCCAAGTGGCGTTTGGCCCGTGGCCCGTGGGGAAGCAAAGCTGCCGGATTGACGAAAAGCCGTGGGCTGCCAGGTGCGGATTCCTGGACCCACTTTGCCAACAAGTTGTTGACCTGGGAGTTTCCGAAACTTAGGGGAGGTACCTTATTTTTGGGGGGTCCTTATAATAAGGATCCTACTATTTAGGGTACTATGGTAGGGTCCCCTCTTTTCGGAATCTACCACCTGCTTCCGGGCGCCGCCAATGAACTTTGAGGATGTCGCTCCGACATCCGGCATCCCAACAGCTACAGTTGGGACACCCAAACTGTGACACAGCTGATGCAAGGTCTGGAGCGCCTCCACGATCTGGTGGGGCTCCCTCTTATTGTACTCTCCTGAAGGAAGGGGTGGAGCTGCTCATCGGTTCTACAGATGTGCAGCTGGTAACAGTGGCACTGTGAGGACGGCTCACACATCCTGACCAAGCTCTAAGGAAGCAAGCGTTGCCTAGCATCCGTTGGCATGTCACCTAAACTCAATCGTGAACCACCGCAAGGCCGCAAGTCCCGCTTTCGCAAACCAAGCATCTGTTAAAACGGAGAATGTCATTGATGCCTGCAGTAAGGATGACGAGGCCCACAGAAGGAGAACCCTTCTCCTTGGTTGTTCAAAAGATCGACAGACTTGCAGGGCCTTCGAGGTTAGGCTGGAGCTTACGTTACAAGCCAATAAACTGGATCCGCGTGCAGCACAGCAACCCACCTGATGCGACGGGAAAACCATGCCCAGAATCGCAGTGGGTAAGTTAACGGACAGAAGTACCTATAACCTCTATCCTGGTTCCCTGCTGGGGCTATATTAAAAATGATCACTTTTAATCCTTATTGGGTTTTATTATAACAAAAATGTAAAATTGTATCCGACAAGGACCCAGTATCTACGTAGTTAGGGCCTCACTTAGTAAGTCTCCTTTGCTGTCGGAGTCGCCGGTCGCAGAAGGGAGCCCAAGCCGGGCCCTGCGCGCTTCCTCGGCTTCCGCCGCCCGCTTTGTAGACTGGTTTAGGGGTTTCGGGTTTAGGGGGTTTAGGGGTTTGGGGATTTAGGGTTTAGGGTTGAGGGTTCGATTCGAGGATTATTTTCTGGGACGCTTCATGTTGTAGACTGCTATGTCCAGGCTTCTGCCTATCGGAGGACAGCTACGGGAGCTCAGCTGCAAGTGGACGGCCTGAGGACTTGTTTCAACAGCTCGCAGGATCAGGATCTCTACTGTGGTAGGGTTTAGGGTTTAGGGTTTAGGGTTCCCTAAACCCTAAACCCTAAACCCTGAATGCATGGACACGCAAATGATCCTGGAGAAGGTAAACGGCCTCAAAGCATACAAGCTTCTGAATGTCGCGCAGCGCTTTGTCATCCCGTCCGGCAGCTAGATGATGCGCAGTGATGCCCACGAGGCCACAAGTTACAACTTCTGTTGACAAGCCCTCGCAGTCGAGCTCAGCTGCAAATCGATGTGCATACACAGGGTCATCCTCACCCGTCAAGCCATCACCATAAATCACGATGCGCAGGATGGACTGGCCTTGGTCCCCCTGACAACACGGGGGCTATCGTGCACCAGACGCCGGGTTACAGTAGATCCGTCACAATTCATATGGAACTACACATAGTCAGGAACAAGTCTTAGTCCCAACAGGTTTCGCCCTACAGAAATAGAATCCCTACAGCCCTCATTCAGAGGCGACACCAGCCAGGTCACTTTTTGCAGGGAGCCGGTGCACCAACTCTAAGTCCCAGGGAGTGACTTCAACCTCCGGCTCCTGCCGATGACCCGTCCCTTGAGGGACACCCCTCACCTCGGGTCTTTGGCTTACCAATTCCTCGGAATCGAGATCGTCATGTGTCTCTCGTTGCTGCTCTTGATACTACTAGGCACCACAAGTCCGCTTCTCGTCATTGCTATTGTCTGTGGCAAGAAAAGGCACAACAGCAGTAGGCTTCAGTGTTACTTTACCATGATTGATTGTCATCGCCGCTTATGTACAACAACTGAGTTAGATTCAGAATCTAGGGCGAACCCTCAAACATGCCCAAGATTCCAATTGCACGGCCCCCATCGCACCGTTCCGTAAACGGACAGGCACCATCGTGTAACCCTCGTTCGACACCGGTTGGCCGGTAGCGAACATGTGCTCGCCTCGTCGCACGTGGCAAATGACATCCCAGGACTCGACGTCGTAGAAACCTTCTTTGTGAAGCCCCGCCCAAAGAGATTTCTGTGTTCTTTTTGAGGTCTCTCTTATGACTTGCACAAAAAAATTACATCGGCCAATCCAGGCAAGACAGCAGCGGAGCTCTTCCTCTCTGGAATACAGCTTGCATCCGGCAGTGATGGGTGGGATGGGAGCCCAAAGCTCCTCGTCGCTCTCTTTGCGGATGCTGACCCAGCCATCAACCCCGTCAGCATCGCGGACGTGCATGCGCCTTTCAGATTTAGAGGAGATAGACAGAACCTCAACTTTGGAGCTTGCAGGTAGAAGCTTGATGCGCTTGCTTTGCAACTCTTCTGTCTCGCGCATGATGACATTGCCGATCGACTCGAGAGTCATTCCTGGCCGAAAAGTCGTCCCGTCATCACCGAGGGATTCTGGCTGCACATGTCTCTTCAACCATTCCTCCCGTGCACATCTCGTGCGCCCTTTGCTCGAAGTGGGGAGCGTTTCGGCAGGGCCAGGTCCTGCTGCGGAGTCCTGGTTCAGGCTGCGGAGTTTGCACCCGGGCAGTCTCTCGACTTTCAGCTTCGAGACGGGGGGAAATTGCTCTCCTGAGAGATTTTTCATTCCCAGAAGCTGCACCATCTAGCCCGACCTGGCCGCATGCTGCAAGCGCACACGAGCAGCTCACGGCTGCGGGCGATGGTCACAGAATGCTCTGCTGATGCCGCTTGCCTAGGTGCTCAACTGTTTTGGAAAAGCCGTGGCGGATAGCAGGTCCTTCCGAGATTGTTGGCACGGTAGGCAGGATCGAACGTGGGCCGGCACCTGCATAGGCAGACAAAGACTTCCACCCGAGCTTTGCATGATTCGCCGTTTGAGAAGAGCTAGCAAACAGGCACTCCTTTACTGCCTCTGCATTTGCCACCCGAACCCACGGAGGGACATCCTAGCCACGTTGGGTTCGTCAGGCTTCGAACTAAATCGATCGCTGCTTGGCAAGTCCATTCACTTCAAGTTGAATCGAAGGGTTGGTATGGAGCCAAAAGGCCTTCGTCGGCCAGGACATGCAGTTCCCAGACCGACATGTTCTGCCTCACAGGGCCTCATAGCCCTGCGCTCAATGCGGCCGAAGGCGTAACTTGGCAAAATCTTATGCCGTAGGCACCTACGCGGCCCGCAAATGACAAACCAAGACCGGTTCTGCCGATACGCATGGCAGACTCTTGGTAGACCCTGCGCTCACCAAGGCCAGCATACAGCTCCACGTGCCGCTTTAAGTCGGACTTGCAACGGCTGCAACTGCTTCAACTGACACTTGCCCTACATGCTTTCTTGAAGTTGACGACTAGGAGCCGGCCACGAACCCTCCAGCAACCGGTGCTGATTCCATGACCCGAGTGGCTCAGCAAGTAGGCCCCAGACATACCTGGGAGCCCAAGGGCCCTCGACATCCACACAAACCCCGAACTCTGAACCTGTGCCCGCCTCTTTGCCGTCAGACGTGCCTGCACCGCGATCCACTTGGAGCTAAGATATCAGGTGTTCTGTGATCCAATGAGGTTCTTGTAGGGTAGATAAGAACAGCGGGGTTAAGGGCATAGGAGGGTTTGGTTTTTACACGTCTCGCTGTACAGGGCATTGGGACTGAGTCTTCTAATTTCTCAACAAGGCGAGCTACTCGGCGACTGAGCCTTGAAGGCCCTCGCAGAAGCTGAAACTCAAGGACTCAAGCAGGCAGCCTTAAATCAGATTCAGTATCTGCAAATGCCAAACTGCGCACAGTCACTATCCCAAGAAGACGGCTAAAGCTAGAAATTCACCTCGGTCCGCGCATTGAAACTTCGAGCTGCCATTGCGGGTCAAACGAATGCCATCAAAGACTCAAGACGATGGACAAGCATGGGTGATGCGGAGGACTTGATCTGCTCAAGTCAGGGGAGAAGCTTGCCACGAAACAAAAGCCGACGGCCTTGTGTCATCCATCAAGCATGAACCTTCGGTCATCTTCCGTTTCTCCTTGGCCCCATTGACAAATAGTCACTTCTGCCGGGGACGATATAATATGAACAGTGGTGCTGGTGGGCTTCTGCTGCTGTGATGACTACAGTTTAACACTCGACCCCCACCACCCCCACGACGAGTCTGAATCCAACAACAATCCGTGCTGCTGCTGCTGCCTATTACTACGACTACTAGCTGCTACTGGCTACTCGCTGCTGCTGCTGCTGCTGCTGCTGCTACAACAACAACAACTACTACTACTACTGCTACTACTACTACTACTACTACTACTACTACTACCACTACCACTACCACTACTACGACGACGACGACGACGACGACGACTACTACTACGACGACGACGACTACTACTACTACTACGACGACGAAGAGACTTTCGAGCGCTGCTACCATGGCGGTGGAAGATATGATGACGATTCTTGCCCGAAGGGTGGCATCTTTCGGAGTCGTTAAGGCAGTATGCAGTATCATGCTCTGTGCCGGGAGAGGGTGCGATATCTGCTCTAAGTTTCATTCGCACTCTGAAAAATATCTCGAAGCCCTAGTCACATAAGGTCGCGACGTCGTGAAGGACTTCTCCCTTCCGCCATGATGTCGCTTTCCCTGAGGTTGACAGCAGGTGCTAGATTTTGCTTGATTTCCATGAGCAAGGATCTCAAACAGGACTAGATCCTGGAGACTAGAGCTGGGCTGCTGTAACGGATCTGGTGTTTCGTCTTCGTGTCTCGTGGCACGAAGTCAAGCTCCGTCGTTCGTGTGCTGGCGGATTGCGGAGTTAGGAGTTCAACGTCTACCTGGTGCTTCATCAGCGCAAACATGGAAGTATGCAAGTGGCTTGGGAAACAGAGTCGTCCACATGCTCACATGCTTTCAGACGTGCAAGGAGACTTAGACAGAGACCGGGGCATTCCACAAAAAGCTCTTAAGCTCCCCTAAACTCCTGCTCGAGCACCGAAGCCCCAAACATACCGAAGTGTGAAGCTATATGCTGGTAGACAGCTAGTGCCGGCATGCCCGCTGCTTCCGAGGGCCTCCTGTTTGGATCTCGACCGAAGCGTCCATGGAAGAAAGGACGATCCTGATAGAGCTTCAAGGACTACATTGGCAAGAGCATGCAGGGGCACTTGTTTCACGCATAAACTTTATGATGTATGACCTAGCAGAACTACGGTAAATGCCTAAATCCAACGACCCCAAACCCTGAAACTTGAAGCCGAGACCCCTTACCATTGAACCAAATACGGTTTCGATGGAAACAACTTACTCCTGGGATAGAATAGGACTGCAGTTTTACGTGCTCAAGGCTCAAGGTTCGACTACAGGGTGCCAGGTTTAGGTGCGCCACAACTCTCTGTGCGTTAGGGCTCTAGGCTTTTAGTGGAGAGTAGAGATGTTGAAGTTCAAGGATACGGTGCGTGGGATTTCTCGCTTCAGACACCCCGGGGCTTCCCCGACACCCGAAAAGCCCAAAGCCATGGACACGGAGCTGAACTGGTTCCATCGCAAGCCCTGCGCGACGAATCTTTTTCATCAGAAACCCGATCTCCAAAGCCCTGTCCATGCACATCCATCGAAGGAAAAGGGGAAGACTCCTGAAATCCAAAAAATACCCCCCCCCCCCGGCCAGCTGCACGAGGACAAACTCGGCAAACTCGGGTGGGGAGAAACCGGGAGAGTATTCAAGCCATTCTGACCTGTCCGATGGATTAGAGATCTGAGGGTTAGGGTTTCCAAGTTTTGGGATTCGGTTTCATGGCTTGCAATTCCGGAGAATCGGGCTCCTCGTAGTTGCTGTGGTCTCATTGTTCTAATCCTAGTCCCATACCACTGTTCTACTGACCGTGCCAAGCCCTCAGTGCCACAGGCCGCCCCAAATTGGACAACGGATGGGCTTCTAGAACATCATTTCAGGTGAAGGTGGCTCTGCACACTACCTTGTAGCATCAGGAACTTTTTCGAGGTTGGACCACCCAGCCTATTGCATGTATTTTTGTCCGACGGCTTTGGTTGAGTTCTTTCGAAACATGAAGAAACAGAGGCAGAAAGAAACTTGCTTAACTGCCTACAGATAGTTGGAAGTCTACTCGCAACTGCCGGGAATGGCTTGTAGCTTAACCAGCAGCTCAAGATATCTACAAGCATTTGCATTCTCCAGTGACCGATGCCTCTTCTCGGCAGGTATCGCGTGATTGGCCGGATGCTCCTGCACGATTGATGCTCCCGGGACTTCCAGTTGCAGATCCTGTACTTGCCAGAGCGAGAGATAGAGACAGAGAGAGAGAGAGAGAGCGAGAGAGAAAAAAATAAAGGAGGGAGAGAGAGAAAGAGACAGAGGAAAAACGATAGAGACAGAGAGCGAGAGCGAGGGAGCGGGAGCGAGCGTGAGAGCCAGCGCGAGATCGAGTGCGAGCGGCATTTGCGCACATCTTTAAGTATAGATACAAACGATTGAATGGATTAGACACATATATACATACACACTTGTTTATGTTGATGTATACAATATGTACATACAATCTGAAGCGAGGCCTCAAGCTTGCCAGGTTCTGATGTTGGCGTGCCATGATGGTTGATGGACTTCCAGCCGAAGTTCAGATCAGCACAGTGTGGTGAGTGGAACTGCGAACGCGGGGCGGCGGCAATCTTTGTGGCTGGCTAGCAGGGCAAAGCACAGAGGTGTGTCGTTATTGGTTAGGAGCATGCTGGCACTGCAAGCTTTTCAAACCGAAGCTTGCTAAGGCTCAGGGTTAACGTGATGTGTTGCACCGTATTTACCCACATCTTAGCAACTTTGCATCGCTGCCAGCACTGGTAAGCTCATCTTCGCATGTCAACCATACCTCTCACCCGAAGCTAGACCCCAAATCTCATGGCCCTAAACCCTAAACCCTAAACCCTAAACCCTAAACCCCCAAATCTCATGGCCATACTGTCAGCCATAGCCTTTGAATCCGAAAGCCATAAGCCCTAAAATCTGAGCCCGACACCCTAAAACCCCAAACTCCAAACCCTGAAGCCCCAAACCCTCAACCCTAAACCCGAACCCCAGAAAGAACCCTACCTAAACCCCCCCAAGTAGGCAAAATAATGGCCTAAAACCCATAAAAAGGCTATTATTCTACATACTTTGGGGGTCCAGGTGAAGCCCTAAGCTGCCATCACCTAACCCCTGGCACGAAATCCGACGTTTCGCAGCTTGGCTCGGCCTTGAAGGCTGGTACGTGAGCCTCGGTGGGTTTAGGGTTCAGGGGTTTAGGGTTTAGGGGTTTAGGGGTTTAGGGTTTAGGGTTTAGGGGTTTAGTTGTTTAGGGTTTAGGGTTTAGGGTCCGGGGGTGTCTATAGGTTTATAGGATTTTGGGGTGTGTATTAAGCTTTATGAAAATGTTTCTCTCAGGTTTCATATTACATTATCCTGAAAAGTTGGAATAAGGTTGTCGGATATTTATCAAGACCTCAAAATTAAGGGCGTTCTGACAGCGGCCTGTCTTTCTAGGATGCCCAGGAACATGGATGCGAGTGTGTCAGGACTGCTGGTAGCCACATGCTATATTACAGTATAAAACTATTAACAGTGTAGTCAAACATAACATAGTAATCGAATATAACATAATATACCATGATGTGATACACTTTACTACAATGTAAAAGGCAAAAATATTATTTTAACTTTTGACATTACTGTTGTTATTATTCTTACGATTGCGATCATTAGCCTCCTTCTTCTAGGCCAGCTTCTCTGTCACACCGGGCAGACAGGGCTCTCAGAGCGCCAAAACCCTACAGTTGGCTCCCAGCCGACCAATGGTTATTGAATGCAGAGACATAGCCACAGTTTATAGGGTTTCTGGTTTTAGGGTTTCGGGTTTGGGGTTTAGGGTATAGGAACCTGACAAGCCTGAGCCAAGAGATCTAAGTTTATCTGAGGCCTTGTCCAGAGCTTGCGCAGAACAGGCCACGAGCTGCAGAATGACAGCCTGTGCATGGCCCAAGAGCTGAGGTTCAGGAGTTGTTCAAATTGGGCTGCGATGCCCGAGAGGTACACGGCATACCTTATGCCTATCATGGAGTGGTTCCAAACTTCCACTGCAAGCACGCCTGTCGCAAAAGCAGAAACTCTCAAAAGCATAGATCTTGGCTACGAGCGGCATGGCTCAACACGACTCCTTTTTGCGTGCCGCCTGCTGAAAGTGACAGTCATGGAGAGGGGCAGCCAATGTGGTGTGCAGGGCCGCAACTTAAGCTCTTCGCGGACGCAGTCTATAACGACAGCTTGCAGTGTATTTCAGGGTCTTTGTTCAGGAGTCAATGCACATTGGGCTTGAGGCCAGGGTACGAGTAGGGCCTTACAACAGCATTTTCGTCACCGGCTTTCGAAGTTCTCGGAATGGCAGGCTCACTTAGAGCGCTCGTAGGGGTAGATGGGCATGTCCCGGCTCGCCGGTTTGGCGTGCGGAGGGCTGGAAGAAGCCTGCAAGGACCAATTCTTGAGGTCTCATGCAGCACCGAGACCACTAAAGCCGGACAGGCATGTTCTGTTCCAAGGGTTCAGCAATGCAACACACCCTGTGAGGCAAGCATTGAAACATTCTCGTGCTTCCGCTTGAACGGCTCTTCGCGTCCGACATTACGCGAGATCTGGCTCCCTATCCAATGCCGTTTCGTTTTGGTGTTAGCCCGACGCTTTTCCTACCAGTGCTGCATAGTCGATGCGCTCTGGCAAGCACATAGCAACGGACCAGATGCTGCAGCAACATGCAGGTTAGATTACGGAAGGGCAGTGCGGGAGGACTTTGCGATGGTGCAGTGCAAGCCCATAAGCAACTGCGACTTTTCTAACTTCGTCTGATGTAGCAGTTCACGAAAGTTCGGAACAGGTGGTCTAGGCGTTTTTTTGGCTGAGCCAAGTTCTAAACCTGAAATGCTGAAATCTCTAGCTCGAGACACTGAAACTCTGACGCTGTAAGCCCATGAAGCTCCAAACCTCCGAGCCAAATGGGCACAGGTCCTGCCTTGACCAAGTACCTATCCTTCAGATTCTGCACAAGGTGATGCCGCCGCGCAGCATGGTCATACCTTTGGGTGTCGGCCGTGGAAGTTGACAGCCCCAAATTAAATCAAATGGAAAAACAAACTAAGACCACAACCTCTGAAACAAAATCTCTTAAAGACAAACTACAGACAAATTTTGCCATAACACATCCCTGACCTGCCTCCAGATCATCCATCGGCGATTCAAGGGTTCAAACTTTTAGCATCCGCTCGTTTTGGTGCTAATACTGGCGGCAGCATGGCTTGTATTGATAGTCCCTTGATGGCTTCTGAAGCATTCTGACTCCAATGGTTGGGCTTTTAACGGCTTTACGAAAATCGATCACCCCTTCTCCCACTACTACTACTACTACTACTACTACCACCACCACCACTACTACTACCACCACCAGCACTACTACTAGCACTACTACTACTACTACTACTACTACTACCACTACTACT